AGCTATATTGGTTAACCAAATCTGTTTGAGTATGTTTGTTAAGGAATTTCTAATTTAGATTTATATTAGGCGTAGTAAGATGTTCGCTCGGTTTTTATCTAAGAGATGGCGTTATTGTCCATAGTACTAGTGTTACGTGTCGCATCATGTCAAACCATACGGCGCTGAAAGCGTGTTTATCAGCGCACTTTGTCATTTTGACGAAATTCCGTTCCCCAGAAAGTATTTATGTGAAGCAAATACCTCTTTCTCGCAAATACTTGATAGGAAAAAATGAGCCGTCAGGAAGCACCCAACAATATGAACAGCCGCTGACTCTGTTGATCGAATAGACGGTGAAGAGTATTTGAAATTAGTTAGCTCGGAAATGTGTTTTTTTAAGAAAATCCTGACTTGGGAGAACTCCCAGAAGTAATTAAAGAAAAATCTAATTGAATGTATTATCAGCTGGTTTCTTATCTCCCTCCTAGAACTTTCTTTGCTTTTGTTAACATGAGTCAAGTAGTAAAGTAGATAGAACTATAATTCTACATTTGGATAATATTTTTTTTTTATTAGCAATATATAAATTTTATTATGAATCATTCATATTCGTGTACAGTGGTGTACGGATATGTTAAACTAATTACTTCAAGGCCTGTTCACAGTATTGTTCACCATACCAAAGTTAAGTTTTCACAGAATTTCGGATATGTATTTCGTCAGCATCAGATTCTGCAATATTTTCGTTAGTCATCTTCGATAGCATTCCATCTATCAATATCGGTTTCAGTGTAGGTTTTCTAGAATATAAGAATTATTAAAAAAAAAAAAAACACGGGGATAAAAACAACTATCGGTAAATATCTGTTACATACAGATCCGCTTTATTTTTGCAAGTAATATTTTTTGCTCCATTAAACTTTTTAATAATGGCTTCCAACATTTCGCTATTGCATTTATCTCCAATTTTCCCAGGCAAGCGTTAAATGTATACTTTCTTTCCGGTTTTTTTCATCTGGGCTGACTTTCAGGAAGCATTTTCCAAAACAAACCTATATCGTCAGCATTATAAAATCAGACTATGCAGATTTTACATTGCTTTTTATACTTATATGCTCTACTTGTCTCGACCCAAGACATAACCATTGAGGTCAAAAATACTGATCTTTCGTTTTTGATTGCTTCTTTTTTATTTTGTTTTGTGCTCTTAATTCCTATTAAAAGTTTGGTCATTATATAGAAGGAAGTGCGAAATAATAAATTTGAATCCCCGATGGTCATTTTAAGATTTTTCAGACATTGGAAAGAGGTCAAAATTGTGTTCTTTCACAAATTTTACGATACATTTTTAAATGGATACTTGTTGTCAAACTAATCGTCTTGCGAATGAGGGGGATGCTTTCAAAAAATAAGAAAGATGGTTTTCACCAAAAAGAGCAAGTTCCTTTTTGGATATGCTGCACTGCATCTTTATTCATATTTGTTAAAACCAACAACCTTCTGAAAGAGTTCGGATGTTTACGCAGTTTTTTATGTACCGTTGAGTGACTATTTCTATCTCTTATTTAATGTTCGACATGTTTAAATCCTAATGGATATTTTTTTACGCACGTTTTGATCTAAGAAAAACTGGCATATTAAAGCTTTAGCTGCAGCTTTTTTAATCAGAAATGTGTACTCGATTGTGCCACGTTTTACTGTAAAGCCAAATTGATGTTGGTTGGTTGATATTGAAGATGACGGCAGAGTTGCATTTTTACCTTATAATCTTCGACCTTTTAGGTGTTTGCGGTTAATATCCTTGTTCTAATATGGAACAGAAAGGTATTGCAAGAAAAACGAGTGCAATGCTTGGTGGTTCCTGCGGCATTTTTAATATAATAATGTAATATGAGATTTTTTAAATCAGAAAGAATGTTTCGCAAGAAAATGTGACTTAAATACCATACTGAGGTGCTCGACAAAGCAAGTACTCCTTCCTTTTTCAGTTCTGACTCAGGAACTTAAGATTTTTGCTGGATTTACAAATGAATTTTTAGCGGTAACGTTGGCAGTCAAAGATGTTAGAAGATTATACAGATTTTTAACTGGGTGTCTATTACAGTAATAATCTGAGTGGGGTAATCTGAGAATAAGTCTGAACTGGTTTCAGCCGATACTAAATTCCTATCTAAGTTTTCAGTGACCGCCAAATAAATCAGATAAAATAGCTCTCCTGCCGAACTTATTTTTGGTAAACATGACCATTTTAGAAATCTGACGGCCTGTAAGATTTATTAGACGAAAACCGTAAGAAGGATGTATCCAGAGATGTTATGGAAAAGTCTCTTTGTTATTACGATGCGTGGCAGACCGCGGCCAGAGTAAGGTCGACTTTCCTGTTTGTAAGAGTGAAAGAAGCTCATTGCAAACTTGTGAGTCGCTCACATTGATACAAAATCCAGATCAAACATCCAGAAGAACTGAAGCCAGTAGACACATTGGGTGATTGAAAAACTAGCAAGACACATTTCTCACTGGGGGATACGTTAATAAGCAAAATTGAAGCATTTGGTGTTCCGAGCATCCTCAAAGCATTGAAGAGAGCTCATTACACCCAGGAAAAAAAACTCTCTTTATATTATTTTTATAAAATGAGAACCGCGAGATTTTCGTGATCGATGCGGAGCGTTATGGTCATTATATAACTGACTTTTTTTGATCTGTAATTGAAGAACACGGCTTGGACAATATGTGCCTTCAACAATATGTTGCCACATACCACACAACATAAGTGTATATGGCTTTATTGCGAGAAAAAGTCCAGCAGCGTAATCTCTTGTATTGACGAACTCAAGTGGCCACCGAGATAGTGCGATTTTAAGCCGTTGGACTTTTTTGCGAAGCTACGTGAAAGACGGTGCTTGAGCAAATAAATCTTTTCCATAGATTTATGAGTATCATAGTTTAAAAAAAAGGTACGCCAAATTGGAAATAAATTAGAAACATTTTTTTTTAAATATTTTTGGGCTTCAATATTTTTGATTTAATATTTAAATGGAATTGTCTCAGACCATATTCTTTTTGGAAATAGTGGAAACGTTGCCACAACCGTTTTGGATAGTATACGTTTTTGTTTCTCATGTTGTTCGTTGTTTTTAATGACACAGTGTATGAATTAGCTCCACTTTTTCATACAAAATATAGTTTCTTGAGTGAAATCAAGAAAAGAAAAAAATTTTCGTAGGAGAAAATTGGTTTTAAATTTAGAAAAGTTCTGAGAAAAAAATGTTTCCTGCTGTTTTGTTAAAAATGTATTTTTTCGAAAACGGTAATAAATAAAAGAAATAATTGCCTTAACAACAGTTCCCGAAATGCACTTGTCGCTCTATAACCTTTAATCGAAGTTATGAAATTTTTTTATTTTTTAAAACCGCTTTCAGTGAAGACTTTCAGATTAGTTGCACCCTTTACAGCGGATATCAAAGAAAATAAAATATTAAACGATTTAGTTAAGAGCAATAAAATCCCTTATACGTATAGAGGGTGTCCCAAAGTAAGATCAGCTTTTTTTTCATTGAATCATAAAGTAATCGTACATAGAATAGGCTTAATTATGGAATAGCATATCGGGTAAATGTCCTCCACGGCTTTCCATACACTTACGCACTCGTTTGTCGAAATCTTCTGCAGCTTTGTATCTCTTCCTTTAACGATTTTAAATAATCCCATTAAAAGAAATCTATTGGGGTTAAGGCGCACGATTTAGGAGACGCTCTTCCTCCGATTTGTAGTTTTGCGTCTTGATGTTTTTATTTTCAACAAATGGAGGAACCTACAGTTTATACTAAGCCGCCTCCGCACGACTGATGGTTGTTTCATGTCAGAAATATACTCGGAGATCTTAACATACCCTGCCGAGGTGCGACCGCAATTAGAAAATCAAATTTAATTTTTTATTCAAACTTATTTTCTACAACTTTTGGATCTTGGTCGCATAAGAATTTGAACCCGGGCCTTCCGTATGGCAGTACGCAAAGCTAATAATAGAAATAGAAATATTTCACAAGCTGCACGACATGTGGCAACGTCTTCTTGGAAGCCTTATTATCCAAAAATTTTGGTCCAATTATACCTCCAGCCCTAAATCTACACCAAGCAGTGACGACCACCCGTGGCTTTTCAGAACCTTTGAAGAAAATATACTTCATTGTTGTATGATTATGTCCGGAAAAGCAGTCGTCCACGACGTCGAATTGAGGTTCCTGGATTGTCACCGACACTCTCACGCACAGCTTCAATTTTGTTATTTGAACAACTTGTTTTTGGACGAATAGTGTGTCTCCAACGGATTCTGTCTCCCGGAATATTTCAACTGATCTCTTTACTGTTGACGAAGCTAACTTACTTACATTACTGGCGTAGACACCGCTTCTTTTTGCTGTTTGGCGCCAATTAGAAATACCAAGTACAGCCAGGTCCTTCTCCACCTGGTCTTTCCAACGGAGTGGAGGTCTTCCTCATCCTCTGCTTCCGGCGGCGGGTACTGCATCGAAAACTTTCAAAGCTGGAGTATTCGCATCCATCCGGACCACATGACCTAGCCAGCCTAGCCGCTGCTTCTTGATTCGCTGACTTAACTTACTAGTCCCAGCATATTTTGTATGAAATTTTCAAACTGTTTGTTGAAATATCGTTCGATAATGAAGACACATCGTTCCATCGTGTGACCCTCCATTTTTTACGAAGCCCAAACTGTCAACTGTCGATTTATCTTTTTAGGACTGTCAACACTTCACCACATTAATGGCGACAAACTTAAATTTTGCTTCAGTTTTGGGACACCCTGTATATACGGCTGTAAATTGAATATGTGAGTAGCTAACGAGGTAACGTTGTGACCTAATTGGCAACTCACTTGTGAGCAAACCAAACAAAAACGTTCAACTAGTTTCTTCATTAGAATAATATATGGACATATGTACACATGTAGTGCAGCAACAATTTTAATGCCTACACTGCACTATTTACAGTTAGCTGAAAACACATCGACAACATCGATTGCTAAATACACCTGCAGACCGACACACATGTTGAGCCGCACATATCGACTGAATTGACAGGGAGATGACACGCTCAATTGTATACAAAATATTTGAGTGAAGGCAAACGACATCGAGCGTGGCATTAAAAACAAAAAAAAAACAGTAACCACAAGAGCACAGGCAATTACAATTAACATAGAAGTCATAATCTGAGCATCGCCAACACCACCACCGCCGGTCTACTGTAATCGTCGATGTGATGCCAGTGCGACGGTCGGGCGGCGGGACTGTGCGACGCAAGCACTCAATCGGTAATTTGCGTCGCGCTCATCCCGCCTCGGGGGCTACATGGAATGTGCAAGTGGTGCGTGGTAAAATGTCATCCAAGTGCCTTTGGCATGCATGTCGCGCACTCGTGTTGGGCTTGACGCTGATGCTCGTTGGCGCCGGCATGGCTACAATAGGTACGAGGCATTACATGACAGCATCTTGCCAATATTGTTAATTAAATGTTGTGCTTGTGTCTTTGCTCTAGGCTATTACGCGGACCATCTCTCCACGAACTCTGAGCTGCGCGGCAACGCGACGGTGCGTGTTAAGAACGATCTAAAGGGTTTTCATCTCAACAATCTCTCCTATGTCGGTCCAATTGTAATGGGTTTTGGTGGCTTTATTGTCGTGGCCTCCTGTGTTATGACATTTGAGGCGCGCGACTCGGCCGGTAAGGTGGTGCCAGCGCGTTTCCGTGCTGGCGCGGGTGGTAGTAAGTCAACGGTGCGCAGCAATCAGAGCAGCGCCACTTCGCAGCGCCGTGCAATTGGTGAGTGCATGGTGTAGGTTTCGAAGCGTGTTTGAGTAATAGTAATATGTTCTCTTCCATCGAATACAGGCATACAACTGCAGTCGTCGCGTTGGGATCAGCAATTTGGCGTATTTCGTACCTCACCCGCAGAGCCGCCGCCAAAAGCTACACCACAGCCTTTTGATCGAGATGCGCTTACTGCGGAGCTTATCAAATTCTCAAAGTCACTCAGGTAATTCCTTCTCCCTACAATTTAGTTATTGCGTCTCATCTTATTATTGCATGCAAAACATCCGCTTTTCCGCAAGCAAACATTTTTAGTTACATAGTTACTCCAAATCAAGCTGAGATTAGCTCAGCTTTAACTCTAGAGTTAAAATCAACAACAACAAACCGCTTTCGCTTTCATTCCATTAGCGCATCCGCTCGCTTTTCTCCACAACTACGACGCCTCACCCACACTGGTTCTGTGCCAAATCTCTCCACACATGTCCCCCATCCCATCGCTTACTCCACTAACCTCTCACATTTGCTTTCGCCGAATCACAAACCGCTCTTGCTGTTGGAACAAAAACGTCATCATCGACACCATCATCGGCATCATCACCACCACCATCATCGCGGTCAATCGCACATGAGTAGCAGTGGACGACAAGTGAAAACACGCGGTCCACGTATAAGTAACAGTTTGGTACAACGGAATACTCGTGAAAATGGTGGTCCATGTGCTCTGCTGCAGCCGCCATCTACGAACAAGCTCTACTGGCATGCAGCCTCCTTCGATGATGGCTTACGAGTGGAGAAGCCACTCTCACGAGCTACGGTGGCGGATATGGCCCGCCGCTCCGATACGGCTAAACGTCATGTGCTGGCACGACAGAAGCCGATCGAGCAGGAAGAGGATAAGAGTAGTCCACTGGGAAATCGCAGGTGAGTTGGGATGTTGTGTGGGAGATCTCTGAATAGCGCGTAATTACAAGTTTAAATTATTATTTTAAAGCGCGGTCTTTGGTTTTTACTCGTTAGTGAAAGTTAAAAGTCTTTCCGAAAATTGTTAATGAAATTTTAAAACTTTAAGCCTAATCATTGTATATTTGATCGCAGAAGCTCCACAATGTCAGACTCTTCATACAGCGGCCGCTGGACGGCGCGCTGTGCTTCGATGGCAAGTCGCGCATCAAGCATCGATTCACGACGCATACAAGTCGATCTACATAGTCCGGAGGTTATGCCAAAATCCATACTGCGTTCACCAAAACGTTACAGTTCCGGACCATCCGCTACACCTTCGGTGGAGAAGGAGTTCAGGTAAAACAGACTAACTGAAAGTTAGCACCAACTCAGTGAAACATACTTTTCTCTTCTTTCAGAAGTCAACTCAGCGTTTGCTCTGAGCCACCTGCACCCATACACCAACTTTCCGGTCAATCGAGCTTAGAACCCTGCCTCCCCGAGGAGGCCGTCGATAATTTTGTCGATGAAAAATCAACTCACACCAACACCAACTCTGTGGCACTAACGCCAGATGACCTCAGCGTTGCCATACAAACCATAAATACGACAACAGTGAATCAAGTGGAGGAACAACTACCACCACCACCACTACCAAAAAAGCTAAATAGCATACTGAAAAAGGCACGACCCGATACACTCTCGCTCAAAGGCAACGTCAAACCAGCTGCAGTTGTGTGTGAGTTGAATAAATCACTCTGTCGCAGCCATTCCTCACGCACCTTCTACAGACCCAAACAACAACTGCCCGCCGAACTGGACGACAGTATTTTCTACATACGTTCCTCTAGCGAACGACAAAGCATCGATAGCGATGAATTCTACGATTCAGTGCAGGTGATAAATGAGAGGCGTACAACATTGCTGAGAGCAGAGAGTGAGGCGGCGCTGAGTAATGTGCAGAAGACGAGTAGTTTTTCACTGCTCGCGGAGATACCGGAGCGTGCGCAAAACAGTTCAATAGATGTAGAAGAATATACACCAAGTGAGGATTTGAAGCAGCCAAAGGCTAGACCTGAGGTCACACTGGAGATAGAGCCGGAAGCGGTGCAGCAGCCGACTACTCAGAGTTCATAAAGCAAATAACTTTGATGATAGGCGTTCCAATTAGGAAAGAGGTAAGAAGTTTTGTAGCAAACACTAGGCAATAGCAGATTTTATACCAAAATCACAAAGTCAACAAAAAAATAATAGGATTTTAGAAAGGTGTTCCAATGCCAGTAATGGCACTAGCAATGAGTTAATGAGTTAAATCAGTTAGTTAATTAATATTTAGTGAGTTTTTGTTGTTTGGGAACCACTGCACACACACTTTTACGAGAACTATTATAATAAGTATTACAAACATTTTAAGTTAAAAAAATTTATTTGAAATTTATTATATTGCGCACACTAAAGTGCTGGTTAATCCAACATTACTTTGCACCAAGCCTATTAGCAGTTTTACGTGAGCGAGATGAACATAAATTACGTTATTTACTTCCCTAAACAAAAACAGGTTTGACATACAGTGAGTAGAAAAAGTAAGTTGTCAAAGTGAAATAGTATAAAGCAGCGAGGTGAATAAAAGTTTAATGTTAATTTTATATTTTTACAAACAAAATAAATTTATTTATTGTCAGATTGAACTATTTTTAAAACAAGAAAGAAATTCATTGATTTTATAAAAAGAAATATAAGCGCACACAGTGAATTTCATGTTGGAAATAAAAGTTATCAAATTGCTTAATATCATGGAGTTGAGAATTTCTCGGGGATGGAGGTCATTTCTCGATGTTAGATTCGGTTTTATTCCCCATCGGGGTGGAGAGTAAGTCGGATCTCCTGAAATGCACCGTGATTTCCGAGTTACCTCAGGGCGTAATTCTTGGTATCGGTTTTTGAGCCAAGCTGGGTATTATCCCGGAATATCGAAGACGAGGCGGTCGTTTTCTCGACTGTCAATAGTGGACCACACCCAGTTAGGTTCGGTCATAGGACCAGAGTAAGAACATCACGTTTTTGTATATTTGGATAATATTATTATCGTCACAAATAATTTTGAGAAACATTTAGATATTTTGAAAGAAGTCTTAGATAGGTTAGCTAAAGCAGGGCTCAGATTAAATAGGGACAAGTGCAATTTTTGTCGGTCTACACGTAGATCCCGAGAAGATACAGGCGATGCTTCGGATTGAGGTACCGAAGAACGTAAAACAGATTCGCTCATCTATAGGAACAGTGACCTGGTATCGCAGATTTATAAAAGATTTTGCGGAATTAGTTAGGCCTCTCACCGACTTAGCGAAGAAAAATTGAAAGTTCAATTGGACTGAACATTGTAAAATGAGATTTAGTGAAGCAAAAGAGCGCACATACCAGACAGACACGTCTGAATTCGGTGTAGGTAGGAGTCTCTTTTCATCTACACACATCTTTGAGATTTTCCATGCGTGCTCTATTGGCAACAAGTCACAGCTTCGAGGAGGCCACTTCAACACACCCACAATTTCCACTGACTTAACTGTCACAGTTTTTAATTGGGTAATCGCCAAAAGTAAGCTATGCCATGTGAACAACGAAGCCTAATCATCAGTGATCAGTCCAGAGCACTTTATGTGTTGTTCATAAAATGCTTGTTGTTTTTTCCTATATGCCAAATTCAGGTAGCGATTTAGGCGCGACGAATATAGATTAGATTTAATATTTCCAATCAAAAACGTTAACAGTTATAACGGGACACCATGGCATATGCGTAATTAAAATATCCATAGAGATCTTAATGTACCTACCATCACCAGCAGCCTTCTAAAGAGCAACATCAAGCTGGCAACCCATTCCTACTAAAGGGTTTTATGTTTTCATTTAGTTTAAGATTTTATTACTTTTTCTTAGGCTTTCGATGTCGAAGCAGATTTAATAAATAAATAAAAATTTTTAGGCGCCCCTGTCTCTTCTTCGACTCGATTTTCTTTGTTGCAGCCAGCAATAGCATTCATTAAATCTTTTAGCAATATATCGCCATCTTAATGTGAATTTTATTTTATTGCTTAAACGTTGCCATTTTCAGTATTTTTTTATTTACTGTAAAAAAACCGCATAAATATTTAAAAAAAATTACATTAAAAAAAGTTAATTTCAAAATTTAGAAATTAAAGAATTCTCACACCTTTAAACAAGTTTTGTAATTTATTCACAAGTTCTAAAACAAAAACACTGATTATTGATAACTTACTTATTCCATAATTTACCACTGAGCGCTTTTATAGAATGCCTCGCAAATTTCTTACCACACAAACTAACAGCATCAAAATCATCGAATGCGGTAAATTTATGATTGTACTATCCGAACATACACAAAAATATTTATATTCGATAAAAAGAATAGGTTGAGAGCATTGAAAAGGGCTCTGGTTGCTTGATAACTCACCTTTTTCTACACACTGTACATAATCCAGATTAGTCATAAAAAAATAGCTATTTCTATAAATTCGTATTTTTATGTGATAACTTTAAGCGATTAAAATGAGGTATTAAAAAATTAGAAGAGACCCTTACCTCTCAATGCTTTCGAGGAGCATGTAAAAAGTTATCAGCTTAACCTCTTTGTTCGTGAGGTTAAAATATACGCTGAGCGTACTTGTCTCAATCTTATCAAATATTCTTGTATATGTAAACATAGTTTAAGTACAAAAAACTCACATATTCTATTAAAACTATTTTAAACTAATTATTTATTACAACAATTATGAAAATAGTACTATTACTACTGTCCTCAGTTGAGTTATAATATTTTTAAGAGTTATTATATTATTGAGATTAGAGGAAATATTTATACTAAAATATTATCCCAGATGACTGGCGGTGCTGTTAAAATTGATAGACGCCTTAATGTGATTGTTACTGCATCTACATGTATGCTTAATGTTTTTTTTTAACTCATAGAATTCAAAGAAAAATAAAATGAAAATTTCTAAAGCATTTAAGCATAATTTCAGGCGCACATTTTTTCGCTACCGTGAGGCAAAAAGTTTTGTGAGGTTTATCAGAATTCTACTAAAGAAATGAAGTTTAGTTGCTTAGCAATAATCGAAAAAAAAAAAATTTACGTACAAATTAATGTAAAATATTAATACTCTAGACATATTTTTTAAGTTTGCAAAGTATACTCGTATAGCCTATTTTGCTTTCTCTCTCCATTGCTTTAATCTTTGTTATTAAAAAAAAATATTTTTTATTAAATTGATTTACTAGCACTTTACAATAATTGAATATATAAATGTGTTCCTGTAGTAATTCTAATATAAAGAGTAAATAATGTTTGCATATATTTTTTGTGATTAAACCATAATTTGTGTCAATTAGAAAGAAAAACGATCTAAAATTTGTAAAGAACCTCTCCAAAAAATAAAATAATACTTCAAAAAATACGGAAAAGTAGAATTCTACTTGCTCTTTGGTTACTTTAACGCTAAATAATGCTATAACGAATCGGTCTTCCCTGCTCTAGAACTAATTATTATTATATATATATATAGAGATAACTACGCACATATAGAGAATAAATCGTATCAGTGTGGCTATACTGTTAATAATATTTGAGACATAAAAAAAAATATATAATTTAACTCTAAAAGTATTGGTTTTCTGTTTAAAATACCTTTTATTATTTTTTGTTATATATACTTAAAATGTTCATTGAAGACTGATGTACATAATCAAATATGTATGAATGTAATAGTAATAGAGGAAAGTCTAATTATCTAATGTAAACTGTATTTTTATTACTTTCAAATAGCTAAATTATGATTTTCATATGAAATCATTATATATATATATATGTATATATTTCTTAAAAATATTGATATAATATTTTAGTGAGGTTATATGTAGAATTCTCTTTTGAGAACATACTACGAAATCTATCATTAGTTGTTCTCCCTTTGAAAATCAAATCGCAAAAATACTTTGAACTAAATTAAAGAATAAACTAAAACCCGCAAATACGTAAAATAAATAATGAAATAAAATGCAGTAAAAGTACATTCAATTAGGTAAAGAAAAATTAATTGAAATAAAATAAAAAATAATTCAATATAAAATAAAAATTCATAAATAATTATAAAATAAAACAAAATAAAAAATTAAATTAAATAAAACAAATAATTTAAAATTGAACTAAATGAAAAAATTTGTGAAAGTAAATTCCATGAAATTTAATTAAGTTACACGGTGAGGCCAATTTTAGAAAATCGTTCACTGATATGGAACCCCAATTATCAGGATCATTCCAATAAATTGGAGTCGGTTCAAAAACAATTTTTTACTTTTTGCGTTAAGACATTTCCGAAGAAAATCTACGATAAATCTTCTTCCCTATACCAACCTTTTAAAGCTTCTGAATCTACGTGTACGTACTCTCGCAAGACGTAGAGAAATGTTAGGCGTCCTGTTCGTAGTGAAACCTCTTAACGGATCAATTTGTAGTACATGGCTTTTATCTGAGGTAAACTTTACTATTCCAACTATTCTAGGCAGTTTAGGCCTTTACTATTTAAGTCATGTAAAACTAATAATGAATTGAATGAACCTTTTCGCCGATTGTGACACAATTTTAATTTTTATCCCAGCACCTTCGATACCTCAAGCACCTTCGATAAGCAATTTCCGGCCGAGCTCCTCCTCCGACTTGTGGTTTTGCGTCTTGATGTTTCTTCCAACAAATGGAGAGACCTACAGTTTATACTAAGCCGCCTCCGCACGGCTGATGGGTTTTTCATGTCAGAAATACACTCGGAGGGGTTGATATTACCTGCCGAAGAAATTTAGAAAATTTAACTTAATTTTTCATTTAAATTAATTTTCTATAACTTTTGGATGTTGGTCGCAGAGTAATTTGAACCCGAGCCTTCCGAATAGATAACTAATCTTACTTCTCTTAACAATTGAATTTTAAAATTCCATAGTTCGTTGGGCTTACTATTATTATTATTACTCCAAAAAAAAGTGAAATATAAAAACATGTTGAAGAAAATAAAATTAAATTAATTAAATCTAATTAATATAAAATAAAATTAACTGTAATGAAATAAAATAAAACAAACCAATTTAAAAAGAAATATTAAGTAACATAAAATAAAATAAATGTAGTGAAACCAAATTAAGTTAAATAGATTAAAATAAAATTAATACAGTAAACCCAAGGAATAATAAATAAAATAAAAGAGTGAAAAACAATAAAAGCTAATTAAAGTAAATAAAAGTAAAATAAACTAAAAGATAATGAAATAAAATAAAATAATTTTCAAAAAATAAAAATAAAATGAAACATAAAATAGATTAAATTAAACAAGTAAAAATAAAGTCAAGTAAAATAAAACAAAATTAAATTGAATTAAATGAAGTTAGTTCAAGGAAAATAAAATAAAATGATAATGACGAAATAATTAATTCAATTAAATAAAATCAAATTAAAAAAACCAAATTTAAATAAGATAATATAAAATATAATAGTATAAAATAAAACAAAAAATAATAAAAAAATAAAAATAAAATAAATAATAATAGATACAAAATAAAATAATGTAATGAAATATCAGGTGGAAACTTTGCTTCCGCCG